GGGAGAGTGGGATGTTTGTGAGTTAATGGTATTAGAGGTGATAATTGGGGAAACTATCTTGGTAATGGGTGAGATAGTTCAAATGTTTGTTGAGTCCTTTTTGGAAAGTGTCGAATTTTAACATGAATGACAGAGGATTGTCATCTGGAGGCTCAGTGAGTCTCAGTCAGAATTTCCGCCGAGCAGGACGCTGGAATTTGCTACTGTCTACAGGGCTCTGGCTGGGACCTGGTGGAGTGGGAGAGCCTGGGTCCCTCTACCTCCCCACACCACCACAAGTCCGATCCCAAGACACTGAAAGAGGCTTACCTTTGAACTAGGCTGCAGTATTGTAAATATCCCTGCAGAAGGGCAGAGATTTTGCACTAGGTCTCAGGGCCGTAAATACCCCTGCAGAGGGGCAGGAACTTTTGGACCCAGAAAAGGGGGACCTTACCATTGGCGCTAGATATGCCTGTGCCATCAAGGGGGAATGCGCCCCTCGATACTCCATCATAAGATTATTTTCTGTTAATAAAACTGATAAGTGCATATTCTCAGTTAAGATTTTTTAACAGCAATCTCAAAAAACAACAGAAGCCTCATCTGTTGTTAGATGATCTATCAAGGTGAAAAATTATTTTGCAGCCATATATCCTTGAAAATCTATCCATAGAGTCAGCAAAGTTTTTGGGATGCTTCAGACTGAAAAGTGCTGGAGACTTAACTCATTATCAGTATTTAAGATGGGCACTTACCAGCAAAGTGTCTATTTTCTTATCTTCATTTGCTCTTAGTAGCTGCATTCTCTCTCTCTCTTTTGTAAAATACTGCAGGTCAATATTAATTTCGTTCTGCAATGCAAACAAGGCGTTTAAATGTCAGTGTTTGGTTCCTGTGGTTGGTTTTCACACAAACACTTTATTATAAATACTAAGCCCCAGTTCTGCTAGTCTAGCTGCATAGCTGGACTCCTGAACTTCCACAGCACCTTCTGAAAGTTATAGGGGCCCTGAGCAAAGACAAGAGTTCACCCACTTCATGTGGATCTGCTTACAGAGTTAGGGCCTTAGATATTAATTCAGCAGAACACATGGACATGTGCTTGTCCATTTCTAATCAGCAAAATTGTGTGTCTGACTTGGGATTGTCCATTTCCTCCTAACCTGTCAAAACTTTAAAAAACAATGACTAGTCTAGCAGCACCTTAAGGCAGGGGTTCTGAAACTTGTGATACTGTGGCCCACCTCTCAGTTGCTCGCGACCCCCCTCTCCATTGCTGCAACCAGCCTCTCAGTTGCTTGTGATCTCCCTCTAAGTTGCTCACGACCCCCCCAGAGGGGTCGGGACCCACAGTTTGAGAAATGCTGCCTTAAGGACTAACAAAACATGTAGCCTGTATCATGAGCTTTTGTGGGCACAGCCCACAGCTTCAGATGACTGGAGTATTAAAGGTCCAGTTCCAAAATAAATAGGGGGAGGGAGAAGGAAGGGGGGAAATAGTGAATTAGAGTGTTCATGTTACATGAAGCTGATAGAGAAGGTTGAAATTGTTCTTAAGTACCCATTGTGGAAGAGAGTGTGCTAGCCAGATAATATCTTTATTCATACCTTTGTGATGGATCCCAAACTTGTAAATGAAGTTAAGTTCCAGTATTTTCTTGTGTATTTAGCTTGTGGAATTGGCCTGAAACAATATCATGACTTTTAGATCCATTAATGAGGACATTAATGAGTGCCCAGGGAAGGTTAAAATATTCTCCAAGAGGTTTCTGTGTGTTGCTTTTTTGGATAGCTGATTTGTGACACAACAGATTTCTGAAAAGGCAATACACAGAAACCTGTTGGAGATACTTTAACCTGCCCGAGGACTCATTCATGGATATCAAAGTCTTGGTGTTGTTTCAGGCCAATTCCACAAGCCAAATATACAGGGAAAGCTCATGATCTCTGTTTTGTTAGCCTCTAACGTGCTGCTAGACCGATGGTCCCCAACCTTTTAGGAGTGCTGCGTGCTCAGGGGCAGGGCCACCCATATGCCGTGAGCCTGGTGCCGGACAGCCCATGCGCTGCATGCCTGGGGCTGGCACTGCTCCTGTGCCGTGCGCCCAGGAGCCGGCATGCCCAAGAGCGGGGATGCCCATACGCTGTGCACCCGGGAGCCAGCACAGATCACTCAGCAGGCGCACAGAAATGGCCCGGCAGGCGCCATGGCACCCGCGGGCACTGCGTTGGGAACCACTGTGCTAGACTATTCGTTCTCTTAAGTTTTTCCAATTACAGACTAACACAGCTCCCCCTCTGAAGCTTTTGAACTCCTAACCTGTCTTTGCTCTTTAGTTTTGTAAGTTTTTTGTTTTATGTTTGTTCAGCACCTAGAACAATGAGGCCCTGATTCTGATTCTGTCCCCTTTAGACACTGCTATAATGTAGGCATTAGTACAGGCAGTTCCTGGGTTACGTACAAGATAGGGACTGTAGGTTTGTTCTTAAGTTGAATTTGTATGTAAGTCGGAACTGGTACATATTGTAGGAGAAACTCTAGCCAAACATTTCTCCAGAGCTCAGTTTTATTCTCCCACACCTCACTTCCCTCAGTCCTTTATTCTCAAGCTGAGGTGTCTGCTGAGAAAAGCCGCTCCGCGTCTCCCTGGTCTGCTGGGGGGAAGCAGCTAGTGCGGGGTGCCTCCCGCACTGTCGCCTTCAAACTCCAAGTATAAAGAGGTGTCAAAATGCCAGTAGTTTTCTTTTTCCTTTCTTTCCTGTTTTTTTTAAAGGGATCCATCAAATGTAAGGAGATGATGCAAAGTAATTTATATAGGATCATATTAACTATGTAGATGACTTTAATGCAAAAATGAAAGCCCATTTCTCTTGTGTGTTTTCATACAGAGATACTTATGGATGGATTCTGTGGGGGGCCCAGCAGACCAGGGAGACGCGGAGTAGCTTTTCTCGCTGCGGAGGACGCGGGCGGCGGGACCGCGGCGCGTCTCGGCGGTCTGCTGGGAGGGGGGGCGCAGCTTAGTGCGGGGTTGCCTCACCCCGTTTGTAAGTAGGGATCCGATGTAAGTCGGATCCATCTAACCCGGGGACTGCCTGTATACTAAAAAGCTGTCGTAGGTTTAAATAAATCATCCCTACCAAAAAAAAAAGAACAGGCAAACCCTAAAGGTGACAGGTCTAAGGATGAAGTGGCAGTGTAATAGCCTAAGAAAGAGGTGTAGCTCCTCAGACTCCAGTGCTGGATACAGCCCCCAGCTTGCCTAGATCCCACCCGAGGTTTGGGGTTCCCTCCAGTATTGGGGAGTCTGCAATGGTGTTCTGCTGGAGCACATAAAATCTACTAGTCTGGGCTCTCCCAAGGCTGAATGAGGGGAATTGGGGAGTGTCTTTCTCCTTCTTAGTGGGGGGGGGGAGGCACAGTGAGGGTTTGGGTGGGGGTTGTTTTTTTCCTTCTCACTTGTGTGTGGCCCCTGACTGCTTTTTTTGTAGGACAGCCCCGCCCTTCACACACGTTAAGGAACTGAGTGTGCAGGAAGCCAGCTCTGAGAAACCAAAATGTGACCCTTAACTCTGTCTTTTTTTATTATAAACCAAATGACTGGTAGATTTCTTACCTTAAAATGCTTCAAAGCATCCTCTACAGGAAGCACACTGCATTCTCTATGTTTGTCGGACATACGACAATCTGCACAAATTACTTCTTCATCTTTTTCACAGTACAGGTTTAAGGGTTTCTTGTGTGTCTCACACAGTTTCTCTCCCTCTGACCCTTGTACAGCGCCAGGCCTGACTTGCTTGGCTTTCTTGTGTATCTCACACAGTTCCTCTCCTTCTGACCCCGTCACAGCTGGAGCCAGGACTTGCTTGGCTATTTCTTCCAACTGGGGGTTGAGCCTCATCGTTCCCTTCCGAAACCTTTTCCTGCATTGAGGGCAGGGGAAGTTTCTCTTCAATCCTTCCCAGCGATGGATGATGCAGGAGCGGCAGAAATTGTGCCCACAATCCAAGGTCACTGGATCTTGAAAAGTATTCTGGCAGACGGAGCAATTCACGGAGTCCTGGAGGCTTTTCAGAAGGTCCTTGGTTATAGTGACCATGTGACCCCAAAAACCAGGGGCTGTCCCCGATTCCTAATGTTTTTTTCAGGGTGCCCAGAAAACCCTAAATTTGTTCCGGAAGAAAAGGTCCCTCTTTGCTTCTCCTCTTCGTGCCCCTGCCTGGGGGAGGAGTCAGAGAGGCTTCTGGAATTCACGGAGTCCTGGAGGCTTTTCAGAAGGTCCTTGGTTATAGTGACCATGTGACCCCAAAAACCAGGGGCTGTCCCCGATTCCTAATGTTTTTTTCAGGGTGCCCAGAAAACCCTAAATTTGTTCCGGAAGAAAAGGTCCCTCTTTGCTTCTCCTCTTCGTGCCCCTGCCTGGGGGAGGAGTCAGAGAGGCTTCTGGGACTTCCCTGCAGCTGGGGAGGGCCCGGCTGGTCGGGAGAGGGTCTAGAGAGTTGTTGGAGGGTGGAAAGGAGGGGGAGCCCTGGGAGCATCTACCCCCTCAATCTGCTCCTGCATACTCCCCCTTGGCCAGACACCCTGCCCCCAAGCTATGTCTACACTGTGTGGGGGCTTTTCTGGCTACTTATCCTGGAAAAACCCTGCTGCATCCAGGGAATGCATTTGCTCTCCCCCCCCCCCTTTTTTCATGGAAGAGCAAATGTGCTTTTTTGGGGAGCTCTGTATTCCACTTTTCATGAGGAATAAGGTCTCCTCCAAAATAGGAGGCTTTTCCACCATTTGGTTCTGTCTAGACAGGGCCAAATGATGTGGAAAAGCCTTTTCTGGAAATACAATTGGAAAAAGCTATGCAAATTGTGGACTGCAATTTGTGTAGCTTTAAAAAAACAAATCTGATAGTGGACTTGGGCTAGGTCTACCCTCCTGAATCCACCATTCCTCTTGCATCCTCCGTTGCCACACAATGCACTCTTCCGTGCTCTTGCACCCTTCCCCTAACCCCCTCCCCTACTCCCAGCCTGTGTCTGTACCCTACCTGCCACCCACACCTTGCAACCTCTTCTTCCTTTGCCCCCCACCTCCCTCCCAGATCCTGCACCCATCGCTATCCCATTCTCTGACAGCCCTGTCACATATACAGAACCCCTCATTTTTATCCCCAACCCAGAAACTAAGGGGGCTTCATAAAATCTACCAGAAAAGTTGGGGCTGGAACGCCAGAGGAATGAGGTGTCTCAGTTGGGGGTTACTTTGGTGGGGGTTGGAGGTTTTTAGAGTTTTTTGCTTCTAATTTTGTAGTCCCCAACGGATTTTTCTGTGGATCAGTGGCCCCTGACCGAAAAAATGTCCGTCCCCACCACCATAAATAATCTAACCTTGAAAACAACAAATACTCTGGTAGCACTTTATAATAAGACTAATAAAACCTGTAGATAGGATCATGAGCTTTTGTGGACACAGCCCACTTCTTCAGATGACCAGAGCTGTGGCCTGTGCCTACAAAAGCTCATTATGCTATCTACATGTTTTGCTAGTCTTTAAAACCAAGTAGTCTGGTAGCACTTTCAAGTTTATCCTGTAGGGTATGTCTACACTACAACGTTAATTCGAACTAACTTAGTTCGAATTAGTTAATTTGAACTAAGCTAATTCGAACTAACGGATCCAGACTAAAAAACTAGTTCGAATTAGCATTTTGCTAATTCGAACTAGCATGTCCACATTAAGTGGACCCTGAACCGGGGTTAAGGATGGCCGGAAGCAGTGCCGGCAGGGCATCAGAGGAGGACTTAGAGCGTGGAGATGCTGTCTCAGGCTAGCCGAGGGCTGTGCTTAAAGGGTCCCGACCCCCACCCCGGACAGACAGTTCTCAGGGGTGCCCCGCTTGCAAAGCAGTCCTGGCTTGGATACAGAATTTCTAAACGAATCATCACTTTCTACACTACAAACTTTCTGAATCAGCAGGTTTCAGAGATTAGAAGATATTTAACCCAGAATATATTTTATACAGCGCCAATGAGACTAAGCAAAAGATGCAGCAAAGTAGAGCAGCTGCCTGCTTGTCTATTTTTCTAGGCTGCAAAAACAAGAGCATGTTCAAGGGTAGTGCCTACTGTGGCTGAACTCCTTCCCACCATCCCAAACCCCTCTTCATTTTACATATCCCAACAAATACAATGATTTATAGAAAACTTGTGAAAGGATTTAATACAAAATTAAAACTTCAGTGAGAGAGTGATTAATACAAAGATGTATCTACTCTGCTGTCATTGAGAAGCACTAAAAGGTTCCAACAAGCCCAGAGACTACAAATGCAGCTGCCTGCTGCTGTTTCCCCTCCCCCTCCTTCCCTGGGGGAATTGGCATCAGCAGGAGGGAATACCCGTTGGGACTGCAAGAAAAAATGATTTGTGAGGGGATCAGCTGGGCTGGGGGAAGGTATCCAGGTGCTCAACTGGGCTGAGGGGGAGGCACATGTCAGGGACTTTAATTCGGACGGCCTTCATTCGTTGTCTGACCTCAAAGAGACAGGCAATACTAGCAAGATCGAATCACAAGCTCTTTATTGAATAGTGCGCACTACAATAGAAAGCGGCCCGTCTCCTAAGTGAACCAGCCATGATTTCGGTAACAATAAGATTATATAGACAGTTCCGTCGCATCATAAAACATTTGCCCAAGCATCTCAGCCTCTCCTTTAATTAGTTAGAAGCTTCTAGTGTTAATGCGTATACTTCATGGCCTTAAGCAATTCATAATACGTCAACAGCTTTCTTATCAGCCCAGAAGGCAAGTACCAAACAAGGAGACAGGGAGTTAAAACAACAGAGGGCAGAGACAGTTCGTTAAGATCAGGGTGAGAACAGAAACAGGGAGTTACTTTATCAGTTCTCAAACTAGCTGTTCCCATCACAACCGGTATAGGAATGCAGCCTTTCACTTATTTTACTTCTGCAACTCAAGCAAGTATGTAGGGAGCGCCTCCTTGCTTGAACTATGTCTCTAGTTCTGCTCAGGGACTACCCAGAAACCTTTGTTAACCTCTTTCCTTGATCTGTCTTAACATAACTTCACTGGGCTCAATTCTCTAGGGCCTAACACACAGAAACCTGAGCATGGAGCTCAGCTGGCCTGTGAACATGTCACTCTACTCCCAGCCTGCTTCTGCACCCTGCCTCCTACTCAGTCCTTGCAACTTCTCCCCCTTCTGCACCCCCCCATCCATCCCTATCTCACTCATTGACAGCCTTATCACACATACTGAACCCCTCATTTTTGTCCCCACCTTAGGGCCTAAGGGTGTCCATAAATTCACCAGAAAAGAAAATTGTTCTATGGGAAGCCCTGAACCTCAGTCCTCCCTGTTCCTTCCCCTCACCTAGGGGAGCATCAGAGGAGTGAAGAGTCTGAGTTGGGGGGCCGCATCAATGAGGTTGGGAGGAGTTTTTTGTTTCTCACTTGTGTGGTCCCTAGCTGATTTTTCTGTGGCTCAGAAAAGATTGCCTACCCTTGCCATAAATAGAGAAAACATTGAAACCTTTTGTGTGGGACATGAATTAATATTTTATTTTATTTTATTTAAAATGAAGTTTGATATAGGCATTTGCCCCTTTGAATCACAGGGATGCATCGTTTAAAGGGACAGCCGCCAAACAGCTGATCCACGGATTAGCTGTGTGGTAGCTGTCCCTTTGAACCACTCATCTCTGCGATTTGAAAGGGGCAGCAGTGGGGAGCCCAGGGGCAGCTGGAGACTCCCTAACTGACTTCAGGCTTCCTGGGAAATGCCGCAGGGAGCCCACGATCAGCTAGAGAGTCCTCTGCTGATCCCAGGCTCCATGGCTTTGAAATGCTGGGGACTCTAGTGCATTTCAAAGAAGGCACCCGTGAGCAGCCAGGAGTCAGCAAGACTTCCCGCTGGCCCTGGGCTGTACGCGGAGTTCCATTGACTAGTCGGCTAGTCAGTTAACCGCATTTTAACATCCTTAGTTAGGTCACACTGGCTCCCAGTCTCCTCCAAACAGCCCCTCTCCACAGCAAGTTGGATTCTTCACAGAGAGGCTGATCTTGACACTGGCACAGTCCCTGCTTGTGGGGCACCACATCCCTCACAGACAGTCTGCTCCAGACAAGAGCAATCCCTATCTGCCGCGGGCCATCTGTGAGGCTGGAGCAGCCCCCTGCCCTGACACCCGAGATCTGGTTCCTGAATTAATACAATTGCAGTATAGTTGCATGGGGCCTCCTATAGTACCCAAACCCATCCCTATTGGTAGAGGATGGTGGGAGTTCTTAGAGGGGTCACATGACACTCTTTACTTCTGGTCACGTGTTCATCCTGACCCCAGAAATACTATCCCAGGGGTGGGACTTCCTATGGCAGGTGGGTGGGGCCTAAGGGGTTGGGGGCATGACTAATGGTTTCAGGGGATGTGGCCAAGGTGTCCCTATCTTTGGTTCAGAAGATTTACCATCTCATAACCGCTGTTCTTTGAGGGTATGTCTACACTAC